TGATGTCCGTCTGTCTGTCTTTCAGATTGCAGTAAGCATGCTGACCTACCCCTTCCTGCTTGTTGGAGATCTCATGGCTGTGAACAACTGTGGGTGCGTGTGTACCCTTCCACCCGGCCCCCACCAACGCTGCTAGGACATCCAGATGAGCGAGCCCTCAGCCCCTCTGCCTACACATAATTTCCTGTGGCCTTAGCATGGTGTTGGGGTGGGCATAGGGCACGGCTCCTCTGAGTTCTCCGGTCCTCTTTGACAGTGTATCTGAGGACCCCTCTGTTTCCTCCACAGACTGCAGGCTGGACTCCCTCCTTATTCCCCTGTGTTCAAGTCCTGGATTCACTGCTGGAAGTACCTGAGTGTGCAGGTGAGCATGCTGGGGTGGAGGCCCTTGGCTGCTCTGGAGGATGAGGCGCCTGGAGGAGCTAGCTTGTGAGAGGGTAGATGGGAGACGCCTGCTCTGAGCCATCCACATGTTCCCCTTTCAGAAAGGCTGCAGGGCACTAAGTAGGCACTAAGTAGGTACTAAGTAGGTACTGAGTAGTCCCAGCTCTGGCTGAGGGGTGAAAGTCACATGAGACTGAGGCTCAGGGCCTGTGCCTTTATTTATTTATTTATTTATTTATTTATTTTGAGACAGGGTTTCTCTGTGCAGTTTTGGAGCCTGTCCTGGATCTCACTCTGTAGACCAGGCTGGCCTCGAACTCACAGAGATCTGCCTGCCTCTGCCTCATGAGTGCTGGGATTAAAGGCATGTGCACTACCACTGCCTGGCTCCCAGCCCCCTTTTTACTTTTTATTTTTAGACAAGGTTTCACTAAGTTGCCCAGGCTGGCCATGAACTTGCCTGTGGCCCAGACAGAGACTGAATTGCAGTCTTCCTGCCTCAGTATCCCCATGGCTGGGTGTACAGGCCCGAGCCACCAGGCTTCTGGTGCAGGCCAATTCTGCCCTTGCTTTCATGATGGCGCCTCGTCCCTCACACCTTTTACACGTGACCCCGGGCCTCTGGGCCCCTTGCTTCTTTTACTCTAAGGAAGTATGGCCTCACTCCCATTGACTGCCGCTCTTCTCCCGCAGGGCCAGCTCTTCCGTGGCTCCAGCCTGCTTTTCCGCCGGGTGTCATCAGGGTCATGCTTTGCCATGGAGTAACCTAAGTCACCCGACCAAACATTTATGGGGTCTTGGCCTACCCCGGTGAGGGCCCGTCATCTCGGATGCCTGAGGGACTCCATCCCAGCCTGGCTTCGTGTCCATATTTGCCATGTGTCTGTCCAGATGTGGGGCTGGTGGAGGTGGTTCACCTGGGACCTGGGGAAGCCTTGGGGAGCAGTGTTGGGGAGGAAGGAACCCCTTCCTGCCCAGAAGTACTTGAGTCTGTCTTGTGCAAGGGCAGAGAAAGGCCGTGGAGGCAAAGGTCACCGGCAAGGCTTAGGGATCAGGTCCCTCCACCTCCAGCCCAGCTCACCCCGCCCCTCAGCCAGAGGCACCCGCTCCTGCTGTGTAAATAGGGCACCATCATGCCTGGGCCTGTGCTGGGAGGCTGACGCTGTGTCCTGCCCATGTTCTCAACACTACTTTCCTGACCCAAGGGCAGTGCCTTCTCCTGATGGGAAATCATGTGACCCCTCAGATTATCCCCCTCATCCGCTTGTCTGTAGTGGTGACGCCAGGTGTGAGGGTTCTGTCTCCTGTGCGGTGTGTGCATACGCACGAGTTACGCAGGCTGATCGATGTCTGGTCCTCCCCTCATGGTAAGATAGGACCCCTTCTCCTCGAATAAATGTATTGGTGATGATTTGGACTTTGGTGGGAGCCTCTTATTTCCGTGAGCTTCACTAGACCCTTGTGCTGGTGTCTGATTTCTCTGGACTGCCAGCCTGGGCCCAGGTGTGGCACGGCCGTGTCCTCTCTGTCCTCGGGGTTGAGGCTGCGGTGCCTCTTCACAGAGCAGCAGCTGGCACTCGGGCCTTCTGCCAGGGAGGTAGTGGCTGTGTCAGAGTCCCACCCAAGCTACCGAGTGGCACTTGGCACCTTTTGAAGGTGACTGTTTTCAAGTCTTCAGAGCCTCTTGGTACAGCAGCCACATGGTCAGAGCAGGAGGAAATGGCCAGCCATCTTCTGCCTGGCCGTGAGTATCTGCCCTCCCTCCACGAGGCCTGGCACAGGAGAGTTGCAGTTTGCTGCCTTTTCACTTCCCCTCAGGTAAGGTCTGGGTCATTCCCCAGAAGGCTTTGGCGATCTGTTTTCCGGTAATCTAGTGACAGGGCCTCGGGCAGTTCTACTCTGCGTGTCTTTAATGCCCAACAGAGAGGTTTGGTTGGCCCTGTGCACACGAATAGTGCTCGAGGCTTCTGTGCTCCCATAACTGTTAGTTTACATTCCCTTTGCTGGAGAGCCTCACCCCAGACAGCTACGGTCCCGGATGTTGCCACATTGCCTCATGAGCATCATCTTAGGTCAGTGTCCTGAGGCTGTCCGCCCAGCGGGTCCCCATATTGACCACAATGCTGGGTGACGTTTCCTCCTTCAAATCCTGTCTGCACTGGTCCTTCCAGTGACCCCCAGATTTAGGGGCACTTGTGTTTCACAGTTGAGCTGAGCTGTCCCTAAAGAGGTGCCCCTGCCCTGAGCCATAGCCTCCCAGAGGTTCGTAAGGAGCTGCCCGGCCTAACGACTAAGGGTTTGGTTGGTCTGACCACTCGGCACAGGAGGCCCTGCTGTTCCCAGATCCTGTCCTGGGAGCTAGAGTGGGAGTCTGTCTCTAAGAGGTTTGGTGGCTTGAGCAGGGCACTGAGCCACACTGCCCGTGGGGAGGAGTGACCGGGGTGGGAGTATCCTGCAGGAGCAGTGACTTCCCTACTGGATAAGCGTATTCTTAGGGAGAGTTGGAAGGCCTGCAGCAGGCCTTCTGAGACTGTCTCCTAAGGAGGCAGTGGTACCCTGAACTGTCCCTTCGGCAGCTCTTGTCACTGCCGGCCCCCAGAAGCCTGGAAGCCATGGCTTCCCATGTGAAAGAAGACTCTCAGAGCCTCAAGGCTTCTGGGTGCGGGCCTCTCATCCTCTGTTGAAGACTGTTCAGTCCCTGCCGACATGTCCCCCTCCCTGTCCCTCTGACAGCCTGTGCTCCTGAAACCTCCCTGATCCCATACTCCTGATCTCGGATAAACATTTTCATGGACGGATCTGCAGGCTGCCAGCAGATGCCCCTGCTGGGTAAGTCAGGAAGAGCCACAGAGAAATCAGGCTAGGCTTGGGCCTCTGCGGGGTCTGCTTGGCCCAGAGGCTCCCATCCCTGACCATGCATGCCTAACACTAGCTCAAGCAAAAGGCCTTCCTTCCAGGAATGCAGCAGCTTTGACATCTGAAGATCAAATGTTAAAGTCATATACTCTGACCACATGACCAGCTCAGGAGACGGAAAAAGGCCTTTGAAAAAAGTCAGCCCTCTCACAATAAGATGCTTACACAGACAAGGACCAAAATGGCATTCATGAAAAATTCTCCCAACTGGAACTGGGGAGATGCCTCAGCCAGTAAAGTCCATGTTGCATAAGTATGAGAACCCAAGTGTGGTCCTTAGCACCCACATAAAAGCTGGGTGCAGTGATGCAGGTCTGTGATGCAGGGGGCAGGGGTGGGTAGGGTGGAGACAGGTCCCTGAAGCTCGCTGATTGGCTAACCATCCTAGCCAGACTGAGCTTCAGCGTCCACGAGAGATGCCATCTCACAAAAGAGGGTGACGGCCCCTTAGTGACACCCAAGACGGACCTCTGGCTACACGTACTTATGCACCCGTGGGTACAACACACCCAAGCCCATACACACAATGCAACTTTGTAGTAAAGAAAGCATTCATGCTGTAGAATGCATGAACCTTGGAGATACATTAAGTAGTCACAAATACATGATCTGTCAAGAATTTATATGAAAAGTCAAAAACGGGCAAATGAGGACTGAAATGGCTCAGCAGATAAAGGTGCTTGTTACCAAGCCTGACCCCTGTGGTGGAGGGAGAGGAGGTCCTCTGACGCATGAGCCCCTCCCCGCAACAAAAAAGGAAGCAACAGGAAATGTACTTACAGATAGGAAATAGATGAGCAGTTGCTTTGGGCTGAGGGGGGTTGTGTGGGAGTGGGGACCAGTGGGTAAGGTGCTTCTTGGGTAATGAAAATGTTCACTGTTGGTATTAGTTACAGTTACACAGTCCTGTAATATACTAAAACCCATCAAGTTGGGGGTGACCAGTTGGCTCAGTGGGTAAAACAAAAACAAAAAAAAAGCAGAAAGAACAAAAACAAAATCTCAAAAACAAAAAAAGCAAAAAGCAAAAAACCACCCAAATAAAGATGTTGGAGTGGGATTCATGTGTGCCGTGGCACTTAGTGGAGGCTGGAGCAGGACTTGCAGGAGTCAGTTTTCTCTTCTACCGTGTGGGTACAGGGACTTGAACTCAGGTCACTGACCTGACCGCAAGCCCCTTTACCCATGAGCCATCTCACTGGCCCCCAGTTGTATAGTTTAAATGGGTGACCTCTGTATCTTAGTATATTGAGAGGAACAGCCTTGATAGGTCAGTACCGGCCAGGACCTCCCTAGCCCCAGGTCACCGCCTCTCATTTGTTGCCTTTTGCCCTTGTTTTCCTGGCCCACAGCACTTCTGGACCACTCTACTCTGATCCCCAGAGAGGTTTCTAGGCCCTGGGACCCTGTCTCGGGGCTGCTCCAAACACCTAGCCATTTTGAAACCTGTGGCCAGGACAGGCCCTAGCATCACACCCTTGTGGAAATGTCCTGAAACCACCTACATAAGCCCCACTGACAACTTCTGAGGTTGGGAGAGCCAGCCAGGAACCCCGGGCCTTCCCAATGCTCTTTCTCTTTCCTGCCGGGCCGCGTGTGCCTTGGGTGGAGTGGAAGTTACAGGGAGGAGAGGGATGGCCCAGAGTGTGGGGAGAGAGTTGCAAAGGGGGGCAGAAGCAGATGTCCCACGACAATCCTCCTCATGTGAGCAGAGACTTAGACAGGCTTTATTCAGGAGTCAAGGCCACCTCGGTTACCGGCTCCCTGTCTCCCCAGCCACAGAACCCCACTTGGGTGGGGCTTGTTCTTCAGATGCCCCTCATGGTCTGACATCCAAGCCACATGGGCACTCGGAGATGGGGAGCCCCAGAGTCCGCAGACAGACAGCACCCCCACCTCCACCCTGTGGGGCAGGCAGGTATCCTCAGAATCATGCTGTCTGCGGGCCCTGGTGTGCAGTTTCTGGTGAGCTGGACCCCACAGCTTTTCCCTTCCAGAGGGCTGTTAGCCAGGCAGAATCTTGTTTGAGGGCTGGGGACAGGATGGAGGACACAGCAGTTAGGCAGCTGACCTCTTCTCGCTGGGAAGGAGTGGGCACCTCTGTAGATACGCCTGGACTCAGAACGCTCAAGAAAGAAGTTCCCGAGGAGGCAGGCTACGATCCGCTGTCCTTAGGAAACCAGGCACGCACGTGTGGCCACTAGAACACTGCTGAGGGCGGCACCCCACTCCCACCCCCGTGGAGAAGCACTCCTGGGGTACTGGGCCGGCACAGCTCAGTAGAGAGGGAAAGGGGGGGGGGGCGTACAGAGAGCAGGGCCTGCTCCAGAAGCTCTGGCTTCTAACTTGGAGACAATCCAGAATGGGCAGGAGGCCAGTCTCACCAGGCCTTGCCTTTGAGTGTCCCCTTCAGAATATTCCAGCCAACAGCAAGGGAGGCAGCAGCAGTCCCAGGAAAGGGCCCCATACATGACCAGAACTGTGCTTCAGATCCAAGCCGGCCTCTTCAGGGTCCTCTGCACCTGCGGAAAGGGAGGGGCTGTGGCTCAGCTTGAAAACAGCCTGACTCTCCACTCACTCCATGCAAGGTGCAGGCAGCAGGCAGGGAGGAAGCATCTTCCAGATCATGCATGCTTTACCATGCCCCCAACCACTGGTACCGGCACAGGATACCTGCATTCTGGAGCCAGGAAGGGAAGTAGGGGCTGCGGGCCTTACCTGTCCAGGGTGACTGTAGGGCCAGGGTGCGTCCGCCTGTGGCATTAGCCGAGGCAGAGGCACTGGGGAAGCTGGAGGCAGGGTGGCCCGAGTGGTCCAGTGAGGCCTGCGGCCCACCATGCTCCTGGACTGGACCCAACACCTCACTGGAAACAGGTAACTCGGCCTCCGCCTCAGGCAATTCGGCCACCACCTCAGGCAACTCAGCCTCTGCCTCAGCCTCCACCTGGGCCTGGGGTAGGGTCTCTCCTGTCTGTGTCAGGGACATCGTGGGGTACAGAGATTTCGCTGGGCTCACGGAGGTTGCGCTCGACTTGCTGGCTTCTTTGTCCGTAGACTCGGGGTCAGGGATATGTGTTGATGTGGGGAAATTAACTGGCCCCTCATCCAGTGAGGGCTGGATGTGCGTGGTGGAAACGGAGGGGACCTCCGCTAGGAAAGACTCAGCCTCTGTTGCCATGGAGGAGGGGCCTTCCGTTGCTAAGGAAGATGGGGCCTTTGTTTCTAACGCAGGTGAGGACTCGGTTGCCAGGGAGTCCGAGACCTCTGTTACCGAGGAGAAATGTAGAGTCTCAGAGGTTGCTAGGGACGGAGTACCGGTTTCCCTGGAGCTTGGGGCTTCAGTTGCCCGGGTGGAAGGGACCTCCGTCACCCGTGGAGGCGAATCCTGCGCCTCTTCCGGGCTTCTTGTGGGCTCTGTTTGGCAAGGCTAAGCATTAGTGCTGCAGACGGGACCCCACCCGGCCGCGCAATGTCCCACCGGGACGGGACGCGCAGGCCACACTCCTCTGCAGCGGGTGTGCCCCTCTGGTAACGTAACTTCTCGACATTGACCCAACTCCTCCACCCTTCTCCAGACCTCTTCCTAAGAACTGCACGGTAGGCCCCGCCTGTTCGATCACAGACCCCGCCCACCAGCCCAAACCTTCCCGCTCAGCCACGCCCCCTCGCACGGCAGCCAGGGCCTCTGGTTCTCAACCCTCTGTAGGGATGGAAGGGAGGGCAGAAAGTGGCAGAGGGTCCCCACCGTCGCGTCCCGTAGCCCCATCTCCTGCTTCTCAAGGTGGGAGTCCTGAGACTCTAGGTCCCCCCCAGGCAGGGTCGCATTCTCCCAACCCCTTCTCAGCTCTGGCCTGCCACTCACCACAGAGAGCGTTCTCACAGCTGTAGTCAGGGGGGCACTGGGAGCAAGGAGTCCCCTCCTGGTAGGGCTTGCGCCCCTTCACGTTCCCCCTGAAGAGAAGGCGTAGCTGCAGGGGAAGGTCCACACCTTCCTACCCATCCCCACGGTCCCCAGAGGCACAGCAGGTCCATCCCCAGGAGCCCACGGGACTGCTATCTCCCACGGGCTCCCTGGCCTCTCTGGCTAACCAAATTAGACCTCCCGTCCGGCCGCACGTTGCCAGAAGGGTCAATGCCTACATTACCAGCCCACAGTTTCCTTGTCCTCTCCCAAGCCTCTGGCCTCTCAGCACTTACGGGGGTTCATAGTTGCACACCAGCAAATGGATGTTGCCTTCCTCCACTCCCTGGAGCGTCTCACAGAAGTGGGAACCACAGCCGATCCTCTCGGTCTTGCTCCAGATTACCTAAAGGAGGGCAAACCCAGCCGCTCAGCTCTGGGCTGGGTACACAGTCCCTTCCCCGTGTAGCTCTGCACCAGCTCCCTGTGTGTTTCAGGCCAAAACTGCTCAGGGGCGGGGCAGGAGGTAGCATTGTCTACCCTCTCCTGCCAAACACAGAAGTCACCAGGTCTCTGATACACCCTGCCCGCTTTCCTGTGGCCTTTTTCTAGAGGTTTTTTGTTTTGTTTTGTTTTTGTTTTTTTGAGGCAGGGTCTCTCTGTGTAGCCTTGGCTGTCCAAAACTTGCTTTGTAGACCAGGCTGGCTTCGAACTCACAGAGATCCACCTGCCTCTGCCTGAGAGTTCTGGGATTAAAGGACTCTGTCCTTTTAAACAAGGGTGTATACAAACAAGAGTGAATCCAAACGGAAACTTTCCCCATCATCTATCACCTTAGCTAGGGCCCCGGGACCTCACAACTTCCCGACTTGGGTGGGTGCTTCTGAGAATTTCCTTAAGATTAAGGGCTAAAAATATCAGTTCAAAAGGGCACTGAAAATGGGAGGGAGGGATATGGGTGGGATTGTTTTTTATTCTTTGGTTTCTGGTGTAATCATTTGTACAATAAGCATTGGGAAGAGAAAACACTTCCTTTAATACTAATGCTAAACCTTGGTGGAGACTGCCTTTACCCACTGAGCCACCCCCCCCTTACAGAGTTTTTTTTTCTAAAGCAAAAATTAAACAAGTTTGTCTATTTGCTTCATCAGTTTGGCAGATTAGAAACCACAAATTAGGCATGAAAAATGCCAAGAGTGCCGCGGTGGTGACGCACACCTTTAATCCCAGCACTCGGGAGGCAGAGGCAGGCGGATCTCTGTGAGTTCGAGGCCAGCCTGGTCTACAAAGCGAGACCCAGGACAGCCAAGGTTACACTGAAAAAATCCCTGTCTCAAAAAACAAAACAAAACAAAGAAAAAAAGAAAAACGCTTAGAGCAACAGTGCCAGGAAAGGGGTAAGTGGGGGGCGTCTGCGGCTGCTGCAAATGCTTTGGGCCACTCGGGGTCCACTGTCACCCAGGACAGTCATCGCATTCAGGAAACCGGCGCTGTGACACCAGGCTGAAATGGGGTGACCTAGGTTTTCAAAAGATGTGCCTTTTTGAAGAGAAGATGACGGTGGGGGCAGTTTGAGTGGCTTCTGACTGCGCTCTGTGTGCTGTGTAGGTCGTTAGGGAGGCTCTAAGGAGAGGACCATTCTAAAGCCCGGCTACTCCAGCTGGAGCCAAAAAACTAAGAACCACCCCTCCTGGCCCTGCACGAGGCTCCACCCAAACCTGGCGATCCTGCCCGCCCCGCCCCGCCCCGCCCCGTCCCGTCCCCGGATCAGGTGGCTCCCCCCCAACATTAAGAGGCCCCAGCCCGTCCTGCCCAACGTGCACGTGGCCCCACTCGTCACCTCGAGGTCCAGACGGAACGTGCACGCACGTGGCACATCACATCACTTGAAGCCCTCCCCCTGCTTCGCGAGGTCCAGACCCTATCCACCCACCCACGTGGCCCCACCCCACCCCTGCAGGCCCCGCCCATCGCGCTGCTGCTGGTGGCGATCCCCAACACCAAGGGACGCTCCCCCCCCCCCCCCCCCCGTCACGTGGCTCATCCAACCAGCGGAGGCCTGGCCAACACCTGGAGGCCTGAGCCCTCACCCCCAACCCACACCTGGGCTCACCGTCCCACGACGGCTGCCCTTTCTCCGCCCTGCCCCCCGCGCTCCGGCTTGGGCCCTGTCACCTGAGTGTAGTGGCCGCACATCTGGCCGGGATCGCAGGTGGCCGTGCTGAAGTTGTAGTGCTCCCGCTCCTCATACCAGTTCCCCACAGCCAGCGGCACGTCCATGCCCTGGTCGGTGATGGCGAACAAGTTCTCTCCACGCCGGCCCCGCTCCTTGTTGTGCCCCCACACGCATTTCTGCGCATAGGCCTTGGCGAAGGCGGCTAGATCATCGTCCCACCTCTGCAGGGCAGCAAGGGAGGCAGGGGAGGGAGGTGAGGGTGCTTAGAAGAGGCTGGGGGTGTCCCGGAACCTCAGGGGGCCAGAGACTGGCTGGCCTCCCCACCCCTTAGCAAGGTGACTCCCGGCTTTTCTCAGGAATCTGTTCCCCGTGGGTTTCGGCAGGGTCTGGAGAGTGCCACCTCGGGCCCTGGGGCACCTCTCTTACCCCTCACAGGGGTGGTGGGGGACTGATGGTGATCTGACTTTGAGTGTTGTGTGCAGCCTGGGGGGGTGGCGTGGAGATGCTCGGGAGATGTCCAGAGAGATGACGGAGGACTGGTGGTTTGTTCTGGTCCATGCAGCTAACACAGGGCACCACCACCACCCACGGCCAAGGCTCTCCCTAGCAGGCCCTCTTCCCAAGTGCTCAACTCCCTTCCATCGGGTCCCTCCTCCCCAGGAAACTGTCTCTGTGTGGCACGCTGAAGGTCCCTCACTTCCAGTCATCAGAGCCCTGGCTAAGCCAAGGCAGTGGGACCGGGTCAGTGTTCTCCAGGAGGTCGCAGGTGAGACTCTGGGAAAGAGCAGTTTTGCTTAGAGCGCCTCTGGGGTTCTGTCCCTGGCTGGGAGAGGATGGAGGAGCGTGGGAGGAGGCATCTGACCCCAAGGACTAAGGAGGAAGGCCTGGATCCCATTAAATTCTGTCCTTGGCCTTTCCTGGAAATGGATGCCTGCTGTGGCTCTTGTTCAGCCCTCTTGGGGGCCCCCCCTTCAGTTTCCAGAGCCGGACAGCCAAAAAAGCAGCAAGAGTGTGGGTGACCATGCTCACCTCCCAACCACTCAGTGCTCTGGGGAACGGCTGCCCGGAGCCCTCACGGGAGCCTGAACTGGGGTTGGCACCACTGCTGTACCTCAGGGAGTCCTTTTCTCTCTCTGGTCACTCTTTCAAATTAATTATATATGTACTATTAGGTGTGTGTGTGTGTGTGTGTGTGTGTGTGTGTGTGTGTGTGTGTGTGTGTGTGCTGGTGCATGCCTCACTGACGGCTGGAAGGTCAGAGGACAGCTTTCGGGTTCTCACAGCCTCTAGGGAGGGAACTTAGGTGGTCAGCTTTGCTCCGGCAAGCGCTTTCACTGGGTAAACATCTGGCTATTCCTGCTGTGGCCATTTTTGTTTCAAATCACAGGTTTGGGTAGTCCTCTGGACTCAGACAGTAGTGGGCAGTAGGGGTGGAAACTGGGATCAGGGGTCTAGGGTGATCTGCAGGGCTCCAGGGTAGACAGACCCTTTCTAGGGCAGCAGTAGCATGATCTCCCCCTATCACAGTCTGGGTATTGTGGGTACTTCAGCGATGTCAATTTTTGATGATTGAGAGACAAGCTCAGAGCCGCCCCCAGCTCTAGCGCGCAGACTGAGTCCGTGCCATGCCTGAAGTCCCATGGGGACGCCACTGTAGGCTTCTCAGAACCACGGTCCTCTCCCCCTGGAAGCCGGTCCATCCACCCGTCATTCAGCAGTCCTGGGCACTGGGCCAGGCCAGAGCAACAACAGCAAGAATCATGGAGTTCACGTGGTTGTAAGTCACTTGGAGAACGTGGCCACTGTGGTCAGTGGCACAGGCAACTGAGGGGGGCCTGGGAGGGCCGTGTAGCCAGGCTGAGGGTGGAGAAAGAGAGGGGGCTAAATGACAAGGTGCCAGCCAGGTGGGGGCACCCTGGGCAACGTGCACACTGGACAGCAGGGTGTGCAGTGTCTACAGACAGGAAGTGGCCAGTCCGGACCTCAGCTCTGATAACCAGTACCCCAGCTTCCGATCTGTCGGCAGCTCCTGGTTGCCCAGGACAACGGGATTGAGAATGGCTGTAGTGCCGTGAGCATTTCTCACAGCCATCCTGTCAGGAAAAGTCCCCCCCCACCCCCGCCCCCCAAGTCACCAAGCCACCAGGCACAAGCTGAGGCTGTCACCTAAACTTTGCTGCTGCATTTCCCAGGTGACTTGGCTCTTAGCGCAGGGGTCCCAGGCCACCAGAGGGTGTCTGGGGGTGGGGTGGGGGGCTGGACCGGTCAGACGTCTTTGAGGACAGAAAGGGAAGGACTCCCACTTTATCAGCTGAAGCCAGAGCAGGCATCCTGTCCCAACCCTGTCCTCGGATAACATCCCTTCTGCCAGAGTGGCCACCACCACCCTGCCTCTGGCTCCTGTTGCCTGTGCATGTCCCTCGCTGTCCTATAGACAGTTTGTATTTCTGTTATATGGATACCTTCGATTTCACTGCCTGCGGGAGATTCAGCCCACGTCCGTGGATGTGCTTACGACCTCGTTGTATGAATGAGAAACCAAGAGTCCACATGGTTACAGAATGTGCCCTAACCCCCGCGGCTCCCTGCTGGAGACAGCACCTGAACTGTGGGCCCTGGAGCCTGCTCCCCCTCCTCAGCGCTTTCCGGGCTCACCCTGCCTCTCTCCCTCTCCTCCGCGGGGATTTTCAGAGCATCCACGAAGAGTGCTTCCCCTCCAGGTCATCACATCTTGGGAAGATCGAGGAGGAGGCCGCTGGTGTGGGGAGCCAGGGCTTAAGCCTGAGCACAAGGCCCTCCAGCCTCAGCTTCCTCATCTACATGATGGGCTGCTTCTGAGGAGCAGCGTTACACAGCACAAAGGACTCGGTCACAGACCAGAGGAAGGGGTCTGAGAGAGCACCCCCACGAGGAGTGGGGTGAGAAAGAGGGCTGTGGCAGGCCGTGCCCAGCGCCCCTTCAACCCCAGGAGGTGGGCACGCGGCTACACTCACCATCTGCAGCATGTCTGACGCTGGAGGGGACACCTGGGCACGGTAGAAGTTGTGAAGCTCCACCACGGTCTGCTTCTCCCCCTCCGTGAGGGCTGAGGTGGGGCCTGTGGCAGTCAGCAGCAGCAGTGGGAACAGTGTCGCCCAGAGGCTGCAGGAGCTGTGCATGGTGGCCAGCTCCCTCTGTCTCTCCCGATCAGGGGTCCGCGGGGCGGCTGGACTTAAAAGTCCCTTCCCACACAAGCACCACCCTGGCTGGGGTGGGGCGGCGGGGGCTGTGTCTGGAGGCCCAGCCCGCTCACACAATGTCTCCAGGAGGCCTGGGTGCCTTGGGTCTGGACCAGAGTCGAGTCCACTCCCCTGGAGTCCTTGGCAACAGCCTCCTCTCTCTCGGTAACGGGGGCTCAGGCCAGGGGCTGTGAGCTCCGTGGTCCCTTCTGAGGTGTGGACAGAGCCTCAGGGGACAATCCCAGAAACAGCTGCAGAGCTGTGGCCATGGCACCCAGCTCATACCCACTAGATGCTGAGGACACGACAAGGAAGGAGCCTTATCGATCTGCCCCCCCACTTCCCCAGGATTGGGTAAGACGAGGAGGCTGCCAGTGCCATTGAGAGAGCAAGGGAGGATAAGATGATGTGTCCAGCTGCCCGGGTCCCCAGGTCCTGCCCACTGTGATGTGTGTGATAGAACAGAGTCATGGCAGCAGCATTCAGCACCCACCTTGCGGGTCCTCTGTAAGAGCGGCAGGCACGCTTACCCGTTGACCCTTCTCCCCAGCCCCAGTACAGCCTTTTAAATAAGACTAGGAACAGCCACAGGAACAAGAAAGAAGCCGGGGCAGGGGTGGGTGGGGGGTGGGTGGGGGCGTTCGGAGGTCTCTCGTTCTCCTCAGATGAGCTTTTCACCATGTAGCCCAGGTTAGCCGCCCTCTAACTGCTACCCTTCTGCACTTGCAGGTGTCCCCTCTCCATTTTTAAAAAGGTGTTCTCGGAGGACACGACATGTGGAGTTGCACTTCCTGGCCAGTGCAGATTTGTGAACACTCGAGGGTGACAGCTTAAGAGTGAACAGATGCTGGGCGGTGGTGGCGCACACCTTTAATCCCAGCACTCGGGAGGCAGAGCCAGGCGGATCTCTGTGAGTTCGAGGCCAGCCTGGGCTACCAAGTGAGTTCCAGGAAAGGCGCAAAGCTACACAGAGAAACCCTGTCTCGAAAAAACCAAAAAAAAAAAAAAAAAAAAAAAAAAAGAGTGAACAGAATTTACACAGACACATACAGGAAGGGTATCCGAAGTGGGGGGGGGGGGGGTCCAGGAGATAGCTACTCCCAAAGTGATCTGAAGTAAACTGCCTGAAGAAAACTGACGGCCCACAGGGCCTTGCGCTCTGCTGTGTGGCAATGCTCCTGCCTCAGGCATCTCCGTGGAGCTAGATCCTCGCTTGCTCTTTCGTCACTGTGCTGCTCCAGACCCGGCCAGCACGTCTGGCAGCCCGCTGCAGACTTAGGAGTGGAATGCCTACTTGTTTGGAGCCCACGGCCCTTCCGGGTTCTTCCTTCCAGAAGCAGTTCTAACACCCTCTCCACATGGCCTCCTGGAGCCATCATGGGAGGGGACATCTGGCTCCTGTGGGCCACAGGCCCCTTCTGGAACCCTTGGTGTCCACACCTCAGAATAATCTTCCTGGTGTAACACCTGTTTCCTCTCGGAGAGAAGGAAAGAGCCTTAGGCCTTTCCATTAGGGGATTCCCAAAGCGGGATGGTCACATGTATGTCTGAGCTAAGAAGACACACACAGACAAGGGGCTGGTGGAGCTCAGGGTCAGGGCACACGGGTTTGATCCCCAGCACCGCAGACCACCACCACAAAACCAGGCAGGCAGAGGAGGAATTTAATCGAATTAAAAGGAAAATAGTTAAAATCATTTCAAACTAGGAGCAGTGCGTTGTGACTTGACTCAGTAGGCCCCAGGATTGGGGAGGAAGAGCCGAAGAGACTGGACAGGGAGAGCGAGGGATGGTGGAGGCAGGCGAAGGCTGGGGAGGACGGTGTGTCTGAGGAATGGAGAGGAGGGCATGGCAAGGGAGTTCAAGGCAGAGCCTAGGCAGACTGCCCCAGCTCCAGCCCTGATGTCACTCTCCAGCTGGGCAGGCCCCACCCCTCAGCCCGAACTCTGCCCACACCTCGGCTTCTGACAAGTTGTAGGTATTGTAAGAAGGTGAAAAGAGGCCTCGGAAAGCAGAAAGGGGTCTGCTGCCTTCCAGGTTTGGTGTCTGATGGGCTTTGGGGACAGGACCCCATCCCACACCTGGGACCCCAGAGGCCTGCACTCCCCAGGAGAACCTAGCTATGCAGATAGCCCCAAATCTTAAGTAGAGTCTGCCCCTCACAGCACCATGCAGACAGAGGAGCCTTTCATCTCTGGCATGCCACCCTCAGACACATCCATAGCCTTCAGCAGGGAGATGGAGGGCACCTGGGCCAGGCCTCCAGGGACTCCTACACTGCTGGCTTCCTGTCTCACAGGACAGATGGGACAAAATGATAAACCACCTTCTTCCGGAAACACGGGGCTGGGCCTGGATGGAGGGAGGGGCCCTGTCAGGACACAGCAGGGGCATGGAGTGTGTGTGACTGGCGGGCCAGAGTTAGAGCTACTGACAGCTGGCACTGGGGACCAGGGAAGAGTGTGAAGACAAGGGAGCAGCTGAAGGAAGGGTTAGATGTCCCCAAAGCACCCTTCCTCAAGTCCTTCATTTTAATTTCTTGCCTGTCTTGTGTGTGTTTGTGTGTGCGTGCACGCACGCACGCATGTAAGACAAGGAGGTCTTATGTAGCCCAGGGTGACCTTGAACTCACTACACAACTGAGGATGCCATCCAAACTCCTGATCCTCCTGCCTCCAAGTTCTGGGACTGCAAGTGTGCCCCACCACTCCCAGCTTCTACTCTTCCTCACAGTGTGCCTCACAGACAGACGTCTAAAACTACAGATAAGTAAAAGAATTGATAATAGCAGAGGTACCATGTGCCACATCCAGTCCGGGAGATGGCATCAAAGGCCCCGTGTCCTCTCATGTGGCACACATGGGACATGCTCCCCTGCCTCCATGAGACCCGTCTGAGGTGGTCCCTTGGCCACTGCACGGTCTCTGTTGCGCTGTTACTAAGCATGACACACCAGGGCAGTATGTATATACACTGTGATGTCGTACAGCACCAGTGCCGTCCAGCAGATGTTCTGTATGTTAGAGGTCCCATTCCGTAGCTGTCAAGGCCCAATACACAAGGCTAAGGGCACATGTATGTGGTCAGGGGGGCTAAGGACTACACTTTCAGCTTAGTTTATTCAGGCTTGTCCAGACATGACTAGGTCCTGACTGCTCTGAGCTGAGAAATGACAATGCGCTCCCTCGATGGACTCAACACGGGGGCATTGTTGGGAGGAGAAGGGAGCTCACAGGGTGCATCCTTGAGGGCAGCTTCCCCCTAGCTCCCTCCTTCAGTCTCCTTTTGTGGTTCCTGGTTACCGTGGTGTGAGCAGCTCCACTCTGTCCCCGCCTCCATCCTAGGATGCACAGAACCCCATATTCTGTGTGAACCACAAGCAAAAAGCTGCTTTCCTCGGGTAGAACTTTGGTCACAGCAATGCAGGGTCCTGTCAGGAGTCAGCTGAGATGGCCCAGGATGTTTTGTCAACCTGGAGGGCTCTGTTCCTGGCAAGTGGGGAGAGCCTGTGTACATGGCTCTTCTCCTCCTCCTCCTCCTCCTCCTCCTCCTCCTCCTCCTCCTCCTCCTTCTTTTTCTGAGACAGCCCTGGCTATCCTGGATCTCACTCTGTGATAGACCAGGCTGGCCTCGAACTCACAGAGATGCACCTGCCTCTGCCTCCCGAGTGCTGGGATAAAAGGCCTGCAGTGCCAGCTCTCCCTTCTCTGAGTTTCACTGGAGCCCCCTCTCCTGACAGGCATGGTCTTTAAGGGTTCTGTTCTCAGTGCGCTCGACACTGGGTCTGCGCCTCCGGGTGACTTTGTGTCTACTGTTCTGATTCGTTTTCTGTGGTTTGGTGGTTTCGTTCTCTGAGAGCATCCTGTTTTCCAGTGTTTAGTTCAGTCTCCCAGGCCTCTCAAAAAGATGGAGAAACTTCGTACGGCAGGACCCTGTCCCTTTCTGCAGCATATAGGCCCCGACTGGGCATTCGACGCTGTAGTTGGCACATAAATGTCCCCCATAGGCTCATACTTGATCTCCAGCTGTTGGTGAGGTTTGGAAGGCTGTGGAAACTTTAGGAGGAAATGGGCCATGGGGGTGGGGCCTAGGGTTTTATAGCCGGCCTCACTTCCTGACCGCTCTGCTTCCTGACTGAAGATGCAATGTGGTGCCTCCCTACCACGACGATGACTCTCTTTCCTTCTTAAACTTCGATCCCGAGCAAACCCTTCTGCCCTTCAGGTGCTTGTCAGGCATTCGTTACAGCTAGACAAAGCCCGACAGGCCCCGGTGTAGAGTTCAGCTCCAGACGAGACACCCCGCTGGCAGGGCCAAGCTGCAGGGCTCCAAGAATGAGGTCAAAGTAGACGTGGCTGTGGGCCGAGAGTCCAGTCCTGCTCCTCCAGCTTCTTGTGTGGCAAGGGTGCTCGCTCACCCAGTAGAATGTAGCTGCTGTCACCCAAGTGGGCAGGAGAGCAGCAGAGACCCACCCCCTCAGAATGCCGAAAGCTCAGCCCTGGAAGAAATCTGTCTTTGTTCTTCAAAGCTAGGCCAGCAGGGCAAGGACATTCGGTGCTGGGAGTCCTCAGGGGTTTGAAGGTTCTGCTTGGTGTGGGGCTGTGCAGAGACTGAGCATCCCCTGGGTGAAGTCTACAGGGCTCAGGATGGTTCAGGTCTACAGGGCGACATTCCCACAGGCTGAGGCCATTGGCTGCTCCTGACTGGCCCAGCTCAGGTCTCAGCTCTGTCCTCCCTGCAGAAAAGGCAGGACACAGAGCTGTGGGTTGGGGTCCAGCTGCCAGCCAGGGCCAGCTCTGCTGTCACTGGTGGCTTAGAGGACAGCTCTGGAGGCTGGAGGACACCTGTCTACAGAGGAGGGCAGAAGCAAGCCGGTCCCATCCCCACCAACGTCACGCTGTCGGCAAGCTGAAGTGAGGTTTGTAGGGAGGCCATTGGTCCCACTTTGAGGGCTGACTGAGCTGCTCTATTCTTACATTCTGTTTTATTCTGTCTTGCTTTAAATTTTATTTCTTCTATTATTTAATGTGCATGGGATAGGGCATGTACATGCCATGGCACGCATGTGCAGGACACTTGTAGGGTTGGATCTCTCCTACCATGAGTCCTGGGGATGGAACTCGGTAGTCAGGCTTGGTGGCAGCACCCTTACCACTGAGCCATCTCACTGAACCTTTCCCTTGGTTTTGATAGTTTCATTTTCTGTATTTTTTTCCTAGTGGAGGTAAATA